TTACTTTGGAGAATATACACAGGCACGAGCCTTCTTTGAGGAAGGTGGTGCTGTGCTCCCCAGAATTGTACCTAGCTCCAGGAAATAACATTCAGGAAAACCAGAGACCGAGTTCATCCTAAGATGCATAGTAAACCCAAGGCTGAATTTATATCCCTGAATTTTAACGTATAGTCCATAAGCGTCTGTGTTTGCTATTTGTTTCTATTGCCTTCCTGTTGCTCCAGGCTTTTGAAGAGTTTAGAACTATCAGGGAAGTTCTCGTTGCTACTTATCCCTAAACCCTGCCAAGTCTATTACAAACATGCGCTTTGGCTTCACTGTGTATCTCCCGGCCTCCCTCAAATCTGGTTAGTGTCTTGGAGAACAGCTATCAAGGTGAAGACAGCAGCTCCAGCCCCCAGATCATTCCAGTACCAGTTTCTAGGGCTACTACAGGGACAGGGATGTGGTCATGGCAGTAGGGTAGGGATGACTGTGCCCTGGCTTTTGCTGAGTTTTTGCCATATAGTCTGAAGGAGACAGACTTTTCAGTATTAAGGGGCTAGCGTACACTGGCCTGTGTCCTTGACTGTTTTGGAGCTTGTGGTCAGTTGTCAGACCTGTGATCGAGCCAAACTCAATTTTTTCCCTATAAACAGGATTCTGGAGCAGCAAATGCGGATCAAGGCTTTAGTGTACTTTAGAACAGGCCCATGTATGTCAGTGTTTGTTCTTCCAACTTGGGAGTTTTTGAAGCTTATTTTGTATGTCTTGTTTTTAATGATCTCTAAGTGTACAAGAGTAGTGAGCATGGAGGAACCAGAACTCTCCAACAGTTCTCTTGTGCCAGCCTGGGATTAGATGCCATTCAGGCAGGAGTATGAATGCTATGTACTGTGTTTTCAGAACAGTTGGATACCACTGCAACCTCAGTATCAGGTTTAAAGTTATTCTGAAAAGGGTTTCAAGTCAGGACTTTCTGGTGTATATAAAATCCACAAAAGCCCTGAGGGGAAAAAAAAGCATTGAAGATGTGACTTGAGAGTTAACACAGAACTGCTTGCTCTCCAAATGTGAAAAGCACGAAGGAACTGGTTCTCAGCAGCAACGGGAAAGCACATAAAGAGAGTCTGTTCTCAGCAGCCATCCAGCTGGCTGTCGCACAGCCTGATCTACTCTTTACTTTTTCTTAGGTTTTGTAATACTTGGCTCACAATAAAGTGATTTTTCTTTTCCAGCATTCATTAATACCACTGGAACATGGGGAATATCACTCACACATTCTACATAATGGCTTTTCCACCTTCGGTTCTTTTAAACCTTCTTCCCAGACAGTGTACTGGCCTGTGGCCTAGCAGTCACTTACTTACCTGCGCTAGTGTTTGAAGCTGCCCAGACAGGAGATGCATACAGACACAGAATGGGTGCTCTGAAAGCTGGACTGGGAGGGCCTGAGGGTCTGTGTAATCTGAAATTCTCTTGTTACTTGCAGCTCTGACCAGAGGCCTGTTATCCCTTCATCAAGGTCCCGGTTGGCCTTCTCTGTGTCTGTACTGGACCTCGACCTCAAGCCCTATGAGAGCATTCCTCACCAGTATAAACTGGACAGCAAGATCGTCAACTATTACTCAAAGACTGTGCATGCCAAAGATGACACTGTGAGGTCGACTCGGTTCAAGGAACATGAAGATTGCACATTAGTTCTCCACAAGGTCTAACTTTTTCCTCTGCGGTGTCTTTGAAACTTGAATGTGAAAGTTGAATGACAGAGCTATTTTTGGTTGTGTTGGGTGACTTGGCTGTGAATGTTTTTGCTTTTAACCCCTGCTGAGGTTAGACTGCCTCTCAGAGACAAGGAATTGAAGAGCACTAGAGTCTTCTAGGACAAGGAATGTAGGACGTGAGTGCTGTGTCCCAGCAAGCCATCTGTTTTCTTAGAGTGGAAGTGTCCGTTAAACCCAGGAAAACACCCTGGATAGTTCTTCCAAGCAGAGCTCACGTCTAATTCTCTAATGCAAAAAGCCTTATTATTAAGACCCAAGGTTTGGATCTCCTACCACCAGACTCTTGACATAAAAAACTTGAATTGTCACGAGTATCTTACCGTTTGGATTTTCAAGAAAACATGGATACTACTGGAACTTTCCCAGCTGTTAACTGGTTACATTTTCAATGCAAATCACACATCAACACAGGCATTGGGTAGTTCCTTGCTGCAGAGCGGTCAGGGGTTAGTGCGGACATCGGTTCTGAGTGGTTTAGACTCAGGTCCCTGTGGAGGTACTGAAGGCCATGGCTTTGAAAAGGGGCAGCAGCAGGGAACATAAGACTCAGGTCAGGATGGACACCACTTACATGAGCATTGCTTTTTTGTTGTTGTTTTTAAATTCCTCATTATGATTTTAACTCTAGGGGGAGCTGAGGCATTCTTTCCTACCTGAAATTGCTGCTGTAGAGGCTGGAAGCAGAGCTGTAACTCAGAGCTGCTGTGGTTGGCTGGGTGGGTGTGCCTGACAGCCTGGATTCTCCTGGCACTCTGGTGTCTTGGGTGGTTGAAGAACAAGGTTCCCTTCCTCCTAAACCACATTCATCCTGGGGTTAGCTCTGGGACATGTTGGGTATGTGGGTCTAGGGCCTTGCTGTTTTCATCAGGGCTATAGAAGGCTCCTGGCTGGCACTGAGGATTCTTATTAGGGTCACCAAAAGTGTGCCTGGCTGCTATGAAATCATTGGGAGTTTTGGCTTCATTTTTTTTATCCTATGGTAGGCTGTACAGACTGATTATTTATATCATCCTTTTGAGAGACAAATGAAGGCTTATTGTAACATAGTAGTAAAAACCACGGAACTGTATGAAAATGCTACGTGAAAAATGAAGAAAATATTTTGCTGATTGTAAATTTTTGTGGGAAATTTTGTGATAATTTGAGAATTATACTTGTTTGATCAAGCGACCTCCTATAGAATTTATTAAATTCTGTCCTAATATTCTAACTATTGAAGACTCAGGTAAAGACACTTGTACTTTTGGATCCTTGGCTTTCTTTTGACTGGTTGTATGCTGGGATATGTGCTTATAGCCTTCACTTGAGTCATGTGCTTGAAGGTCATGTTCTTATGACTCTAGATGTGCAGGGGAAAGCAGCCTTCAGTTTTGTTTTGACGCAGTGTTGACTGGTTTGGAGGTAGACTAGCCATGTGTATGTGTGCATGTGTGTGGTGGAGGTGTTATGCCTGAAACCTCAGTACTGATCTCAGGGTGGGTCCCAGGCTCTCAGGGCACGAAACTTTTACTGCTGAAACACTAGTCTCTCTTGGAGAATTACTATTTAGCAAGAGGCTAAAGATAGGTGGATAGAAACAAACAACCTCTCCTGGGGATAAAGAACATGGAAGGAGCACCTTGCTGATGTAAAAACTTAACCATGTTCTTTTTTACTTGCTTCTTTTTCTTTTCTTTTCTTCTGGCCTCGAACTCACAGAGATCCACCTGCCTCTGCCTCCTGAGTGCTGGGATTAAAGGCATGGGCCACCACTGCCCGTTTATTTATTTATTTTTTTTTGAGACAGGGTTTCTTTGTATAACAGTCCTAGCTGTCCTAGAACTTGCTTTGTAGACCAGGATGGCCTTGAACTCACAGATCTGTAACTGGAGTGTCTCTCCTGTCTACCAGTTCCCTAATAACCACTCTTGTAGTGGGAGCTGCGGGCCTGCTTTTCGTCCCGCCCAGCTCCCGCCCGGCTAGCTTTACACCAGAAATAACAACACACAAACTGTATTCTTTTAAACACTGCTTGGCCCATTAACTCTAGCCCTTACAGGCTAATTCTCGTATCCCGATCAACCCATCTCTAATAATCTGTGTAGCATCAGTCTTACCGGGAAAGATTCAGCATGTCTGACCTGGCAGCTTGCTTCATGGCATCTGCCCGGGAGAGGGGAGCATGGCCTCAGAGCTCACTTCCTCTTCCTCCTAGCATTCTGTTCTGTTTACTCTGCCTATCTAAATTCTGCCCTATCAGATGGGCCAAGGCAGTTTTTTTATTAGCCAATGACCTTCCTCCATCACACTCTGAGGCTTACTTAATATTAATTATAAACTGTTTGGCTTGTTATCACAGGCTTATTATTAACTAGCTCTTCTTCCTTCCTTCTGTCCTTCCGTCCCTCCCTCCCTGTAGTTTTAGAGGCGGTCCTAGAACTAGCTCTTGTAGATCAGGCTGACTTCCAATAGAACTCACAGAGATCCGCCTGCCTCTGCCTCCTGAGTGCTGGGATTAAAGGTGTGCCTCACCACTGCCCGGCTTAAATTACCAATTTCTATTAGTTTATATTTTACCATGAGACTTGCGGCTTGTTACTTTACATCTTGCTTCTCCAGCGGCTCCTGGCAGCTCTTCGACTCTGCCTTCTTTTTTCTTTTGCATCTGTTTAGGTTAAAAGCATGTGCCACCATTGCCCTGTCTAATCATGTTCTGATGTGCTCTGCTTAGTTCAGGATGCCCACACTAACCTGTCATGTTGGCAGCATAACAGGTAATGAAGGCACTCACCAAATGTTAGTTCTGTGTCTGAGATGATACAGCCTCAAACTTTCTTTTGTGGTGCTGGGGCCTTGTCCATGTTAGGCAACTGTTCTACTATAGAGGTACACTTTAGCCTTTGTTTTCCGAGACAGTGGCTCACTATGTAGCCAGGGTGGGCTTTAAATTTGGGTTGCTGTTGTGTGCTGGTGTTATAGTCCTGTACCACACTCAGACTGCGGGTGTGTCTTCAGTGAAGTTCCCAGTGAAAGGAACAATGCAGTCATCACTGTCAAACAGTTCTACTTTTGTAGGAACCAGGAGGAGTGTTAGGACTTCTGGGAGATGTTGTTATGCAGACAAGGTGGGTGGCTTTGGACTGGACCGTGTCCCATGCTGCCTTGGGCCATCTTGATGTGAGGTTGGAGGCATAGCTATTCTACACTTGTTTGAGAATGGACAGCCATTTTTGGAACATTTTCTCAAATGTTAAACTTACTTGTTCAAAGCACTATGCATGTTGCTTTTAACATATCTGAAAAGCTTTATTTCTATGCTATGAGAGTTCTGTGTAATTTACCACTAAAACACACAAAAGCATGTCTGAAGGATGTGGTTTCTCATTGGGAAAAGAGCAAATGTTCATATGTAGCATAGATCACATGTTCCTCAGCTGAACATCTTATTCCTACATGCTTGCTAGCAGGGAGCTAGTCATTTTCTACACAAAGCAACTTTATCAGACTGTCAAGAGCAGCTTCAATTCCAAGTACTCCTAGTAGGCTTCGGAAACTCAGAGGAGCAGTTTCTATGATCTTGTTCTTGTCCAGCTCCAGGGCTGTGAAGAAAACACACCTGGTAAGAAACCTTATAGTGCCTGTCTAATAAGATCTTTTCCCCCCAATAGCCACACAGTAGGATGCCCTAGAGACAGGGTGGAGAAGACCAAAGAGTACTGTCACCAGTAACTTTTGAGGCAGAGAAAATGCCTTGCTCCACACGTCTGCAAGGCCTCAGGACAGTAGTCCTCTCATGTGCTGTTTGTTTGGTGGTTACTGATTGAAGTATTTCAAAAGGTGATCTACAAAGTACATTAATGACAGTTTCAACTTTTGATTCTTCCCATGAAAACCCAGATAAGACACTCAGATGGCTTTGTTGGGTATACTGAGAAGTCTTCCGGAAAGGGTGCCTGTAAACATGGAGTCCTACCTCGCTCTGGGACTTTGGTGAGAAGATCCAGCTTCGGAAAAACCTTCCCTTCCTCATCTATTTGTATCTTCCAAACAATCACCAGTTCAAACCTGGAAAAAGGCAGTATTTGGTGCTTTTGGAATTGGGAAAGATTAGCCTCTGAGCATGTGGTTTCTGCTGGCCAGGATCACCTTCTCCTAAAGACTTCTCCCCACAGAGGAAACCGTGTAGGAAAGCATATGATAGTTCTGTGGGACAATTTGGAAACTTGGGCCACAGCAACACTTTGTACCTACACCATGGCCAACACCAATGTGATAAGTAATGGGACAGGCAAGAGGACGTTCCTGGAAAATGATCTGAAATGGTTAGAAATCTGCACACGCTTTTTTCATGGTTGGAATTTTCTTATTCTAGGAGCAACCCATGTGCCATATGGCAGGAGAAACAAATGAAAAGTCCAAACCCTCAGGACCCGAGGAATACAGTCAGAACTCCACACTAGAGGATGAGGCATGAGAAGTGAACTACAACCCCATGACAAAGACCAGCTCCAGCAGCCTGTGTAAGGATCTAGGTCCTGAAGAACATACAGGCACATTTGTAAGCACAAAGGCAGAAGAAGGAAAGCAGGAGTGACAGTGGCTGTGGGCGAGTGCTGCCAAGAGTCTTAGGTGCCCAGTGTAGAACTGCACCTGTTTATTTTGGCTTCTCTGAGGCTCTGGTGACCTCTGGCTTCCTGCTTCTGCCTCTGTCATACCAGCAGACACACACACACACACCCCTCTACCTTCTTGGCTATACATATACAAAGGCCCTTGCTGCCCAAGGCCAGCATTTAGCTCCTCCAGCCCTGCACTCCTTCCTACCTTCTCTCTCCCTTCATGGCTACACAGCAGTCCATCTGCCCACTGTTTGGTATCTGCTGTGATTCCACCTATTTATCCATGGGATACTCTTTAGTCTTCCTTAGGTAATTTCTTAGCCTCTCTTATGGACAGTCCTGGTCCCAGAACCTCTTGCTGCACAGACTTACCCTGGCTGTCTGGCACTGCGGATCTCCATGCAGTGGGAACAGGTGCCCTCTGAGAGATACACACTATCTGGATACTTCTCCTGCATGTGAAAATAAATGGTTACAGTCTGATCCATCTAGAAGAAATAGCATCCTGAAAACCAGGAGAAACATTCTGAAGCCTGAGATGAAAGTGTTCTATGTGCTATTTGCTGGTGCCCACTCTTGTCCTTACCTATTTTTGCCACCCCAGGAGCTCATGGCTATCCCTTTCCTGAGATATCACAATATCACTGTACAGATTCATTTTCAATTTCATTCTATTTCCGCCTGCCTACCACTTGGGATGACTCCTTGCCTCAGGACTTGGATGAGCACCACAGCCCTCAAGCAAGTGTCTAAAAGGCTTTGTACAATGGAGACTTATTCCGTGTCAGCAAAGCCTTTTGAGTTGAGGCTCATGTGGGTACTGGTTGCTATCCTGCTTCAGCAGATGCACCAACCTGTCCATCCTCACAACTCACGCAGATAAGCTTCTGCTCGAATCCTTAATATGAGCCAGGCTCCACCCAGCTGCCCATACTATAGTGGAGGTATCAGGCTCCCTGGTTGCAGTGTTAATGTCTATAGAGAACAGGAATGGGTTGAATGTCACAGATTTCCTCAGATAGTATGACTGCTCTGGACATGTCTGCATGCTAGTTTTCCACAGCAAAACCTAGGAGGCTCTAGCATATTAGAACTGATATACTCATTTATATTCACCATGACAACAAAGTTTGTTTTCCAGGTATTTGAATGAAAGACAGATATAACTGATGTACATAGCAGTGGCCTTGTTGTCTGCTCTTGTGAGAAGAGACTATAGGGTTAGAGGATGAAGAACAAACTCCAAGTTGCCCTCATCATGAGATTTTAGGCCTCAAGACTACCTTTGAAAGGTCCTTCCATGTATCCCTCAGTGCCCGAAGAAGAGATACTTCCCAGGTGATACCTAAGTCAAGCAAGGGCTGTAAGGTGCAGCTGTTCCCGGGGCAGACAGAGAGCCACTGTCACCATAGGCTAGGGCTGGGACTTGGGGCAGATCCTTCTAGGACTGTAGAGACTGGCTGGATTAAAGCAGTCTGGGTCCATCAAATAAGGTTTCATGGGGACAAAGATGTATTACAACCCTTAAGAGAAGACTACTTTCTGGGTAAGCCACTTCTGGCATGGAAAGCCAAGGCCGCCAGCATCTATGCGTGCAGCCACCAACAGAGAGCACATCCAGACACCAAAGCTGGGGTGGACTGGTGTACTTTGCAGATAATTACTAATTTCAGCAAGACAAGTTTTTAGGAGAAAAATGTATACCTAAGTGATTTCCGTGGAAAGTGTTGGTTGATGTTTAAACCTCAGGCTCTTCTAAATTAATAACAACTGTTTGAGGAACGTAAAGGAGTTGTGTGTGAACGTGGCAGTTCAGCTTCCAGACTCTGCTTGGCAGCAGCACATGAGGCTCAAGGGAGTACTGGGGCTTGGGCTGGCTCCAAGGTGGGGCCTGAGGCTTGGCCTCCAAGCAGGAGGGAACTGATCTCCATTCCATAGGCCCCTCTGCCACATGAGTAAAAGGAAGACAAATTAGATGCTTTCACTAAAAAGTATACTCTTAGCTTTTATAATGTAGACAGCAATACTGACATCAGGCAGAGGGCAGGCATTCAAACGTATTTCTGGAAAGCTGGGGACTGTAAAAGCTTCCATGTAAGTTAAGGTTGCTGCATTTAGCCAGCTTTATTCCTTGCCTGATCAACTCTAGAACAAAGTGAAGAGTGAGAAGGAATTAAAAGCTGACAGCCTGACTAGACCCCAAGAACAACAACCTTATTACAATCACTAATACAAGGGCCATTTTTTCCCTTAAATAATTTATTTTTATTTTATGTAAATTGGTGTTTTAACAGTTTAACAATTGGTCTGTGTGAGGTGCTGGATCCCCTAGAATTGGAATTATAGACAGTTGGGAGCTGCCATGTGGGTGTGGGGAACTGAATCTGGGTCCTTTGGAAGAGTGGACAGTGCTTTTACCCTTTGAGTCATCTCTCCAGCTCCAGAAGTGCCATTCTTAATGACAAAGGCATAGGAGACTTTTGAGGGAAAGGCAGAAGAGCTGTGATAAATGATCAAACTATGTAAAATGATCCTGAAGACGGAGACCAGCTAGTTTTTGTTTTTATTATTTGTCCAGACAGGGTTTCTCTGTGTAGCCCTGGCTCTCCTGGAACTCACTTTGTAGACCAGGCTGGCCTCAAACTTGAAATCTACCTGGCTCTGCCTCTTCTGAGTGCACAGGGATTAAAGGTATGCACTGCCACCTCCCAACTGCAATCAGCTAGTTTTAAGAGTGACAGGAAACTTGAGATTCACTGTATTTGACTTTGATAAGGAAGGACTAAGTAGGCAGGGAGGAGTTAATCATGGTCTGAAAAGGCAGGGATGTCCACATTGTATCTTAGAGTGTGTTCCATGAAAACCAGTAAGACAATAAAAATGCTCATCAGAAACCCTCCACCCGGTCTGCAAGCAACACATTTTTTCCATCAGTAAAGCCAAGGCCCAGACATGGAAAACACCTGGCCTGGCTCTGGAAGGACAATCTTGGACATGCTCTGTCTAGTGCAAAGGTGTGTTTTGCATGTCACCATAAGCTCTGCTGTATAGAGGATAATAGAAGCCTGTCTGGGGAAGGCTGAGTTACGGAGGTGGCTATTAGAGGGGCCTCATGCATACTAACCAGCTGGCTCTTGTGCTTCCACCCCAGGGCCTCAAGCTCTTCAGGAGTGCTGGGCCTGAGGGCGACTGAGGAATGTTGAGTCTGTGTTTTCTCAGCTGGGTGCCATATGGAGGAATTTGCATGGAAAAACAAAGCAAAACCCTGGTGTTTATGATAGAGATGGGGTGGGGTGCTGGCCATCCAGCCATTTCACACCCTGGGTACTGAGGCACTGGCTGACTGGAGTGCAGACGAGCTATATTTTAACAGAGCTTTGTAAGGCTGCCTGTGCTATGCTGCAGCCATACTGGCTCAATACTGTAGAAGAGAGACAACATCACCTCCCCTCTACTATGTTTCTGTGAGATCCAATAGCAATTTTCTATGGACAGTTTGGGCATCCACAGATGTCAGTTCATCTTGACTTCAAAAGATTATGCCTGAACTACTGAATGATTAAAAAAAATAATTCATCAAAATGCACAAATATAGCATATTAAAACAACTAGAACACACAATTTTAGTATATGCCCAAGGTGGTACAACTATACCATTTTCTAGTTCCCAAATGTTTTCATTACTCTGTAAAGAAACTGTGCCTTTAGGTGTTGTCCCCAGCACAGAATTAGATAAACACTAACATATTTTGTTACCAATTTCCTGTTCTGGACATTTTAGACAAGTAGAACCCTATAGTATGAACTTTTTTTTTGTGACAGGTTTTTATTTAATATATTTTCAAGACCTACTCACTACCTTAAATAGCCAGTTAATATTATATAGATAAATTACTACAGTGTATCTGTTTATTAACCAATAGATAGATACATGGTTTGTTTTTACCATTGGCCTACTGGAAATAATACTATGAGCACATTCACGGTCTAAACATTACCATTACCATTACCTTTTTTTTTTTTTTTTTCAGAGTCTATATAGTCCTGGCTGCCCTGGAATTCACTATGTAGATCATGATGGCCTCATACTCAGAGATATCCGTTTGTCTCTGCTTCCGGAGTGATTAAAGGTCTCCCATGTCTGGCTCTATCATTATTTAGAAACACGGTTTCATACTGTAGCTCTGTCTGGCCTGGAACTAATCATTATATACACGAGGTTGGCCTTGAAATCACAGAGATCAGCCTGCTTTTGCCCACAGGTGCTGGGATTAAAGGAGTTTATTTAGTTAAAATGATGTGTATGTGTTTACTCATATGTATGTATGTAGGTACCTGTGGAGACTGGAGTTACAGGTAGTTTTGAGCCATCTGATAGGACTGCTAGGAACCAACCGGGTCCTCTAAAAGAACACTACACACTTTTAACCACTGAGCCATCATCTCTCCAGCTTCTTGTATGCATCTTGTGTGAACATCTAATTTCATTTCTCTTGGTTATACGCCTCAGGAAAGCTGCCAAGTCCTGTGATTGATTGCATTGTTAGCCACTGGATGAGCTACTAAACTTTACTGGTCGAGGATTTCCTTTTCTATTCCTTTAGCATCTAGGTTTTGATTTCTTTACATCTTTGCCAACTATTACCTACCAAACATTCTTTGAAATAATTATAGTCATCCTATAAGCTGTAAGGCAATATTCTAGAGTCACTTCTCAGATATATGACACGCAAAAATTACCGCTCTAGCCCCATAATGGCTCCCTCAATCAAAATATCTCTATCCTTGCTCTTGGTCTCTGCCCTTCTCCCATCTTGACTGTCTCCTTCCCTCAAGTTCTCCCCCTACTCCCAATTTTGTCAGGACATCTTGTCTATTGCCCCTTTCTCTTAGGGTTTACCTTGTTACTTAGGGTCGTGGTATAGGCTTGTATCCACTTATGGAGTGAGTACATGTTCATCAGAATTATCTCCCACCTTCCTTTTTCCTTCCTATTTTTCAAGACAAGGTCTCACTCTCTAGAGCTACATTGCATTACAGGTGTGCACCACCAGATCCCGCCCTACTTTCTTTAGCAGTGTAACTTGATTTGAATTTTGAGTGTTAAGGCTGGAAAGATGAGTCAGTGGGTACAGATACCTGACTTCAGTCTCTGAGAGAACTGACTTCTGAAAGCTGTGGACTGTGGCATGCATGTACTCACACAAACAAAAATTATGCTTTCCATACCCTGTTTATTGAGGCAGAGTCTCACTGAGACTTAGTGATCGCCATTTAGCTAGCTAGCTATGCTGGCAAGCAGGCTCCAGGGATCCTGCTGTTTTTGCTTCCACGGTGCTGAGATTACAAGTGTGTTCAACTTTTTATTTTAATCACTTATTTATTTATTTACTTACTTTTGAGACAGGGTTTCTCTGTAGCTTTGGGGCCTGTCCTAGCACTCATTCTGTAA